AAATAAATTTATTTTTTTAATAAATCTTACAAAATGAAAATGACATTGAATAATTACACTTTACCTAAAAATGTAAAATATACCATACCCTTGAATAGAACTCTGTAGTGTACACAAATTACCAATATTGCTAGATAAATATCTAGTCAGGAAACCTATGGCAGGAGAATTACTGATTTTTCTTTTCCTTTTTTTCTTGTATTTTTTTTTTTCCCATTGGAAAGGCAGATATACAGAGAGATGGAGAAACAGAAAGATCTTTCATGTGCTGGTTCACTCCTCAAATGGCTGGAGCTAAGCTGATCTGAAGCCAGAAGCCAGGACTTCTACCGGGTCTCCCAGGTTCCCAAGGCTTTTGGGCCATCCTCTGCTTTCTCAGGCTGCAAGCAGAGAACTGGATGGGAAGTGGAGCAGGCAGGACACAGTTCAGCACCTGTATGGGATGCTGCACTTGGAAATGGAAGATTAACAGTTGAACAATTGTGCTGGCCCGGAGTTGTTGATTTCTAAGAGAGTATTGTAGCCTCCTACTTCCAGAAATGAAAGGATTTAGGATTCTGCAGGGACTATCTTAAAGCAATTATTTGCTAGCTTTCCTTATTCCTATATGTACAGATTGTCATCTCAGGACTTTCTCTGCTGAAGCTTATCATCTTAGAATCGTAACTGCTCTGCTTTTTTGATTGATGACATCTTAACCCCCAAGTGCACACAAAGGAAGACCCCCTAATGCCTTTCCGTGTGTGGCATCTTGAGTCCCTTCAGATTGCATCTCTCTGCAATATTTGATGTGGATGAAGGAAGAACTAAAGAAACGTTGCAGTCTTGAAATCTGGATAATCATGTGCCAGAGCCTTCAGTTATTCTGACATGTTATCCATGACTCTTGCAAGCTGTTTGCTTGGAGGAACTTGCCACTGCAACTCACTTGGCTAGTCCCAAAGACAGGTTCAGCCTGTCCTGTTTGATTTTCTAAGTATCTTCCTTCGTGTACTTGGTACACTTAAAAGCTGATTTAAAAAGTCTTTAATGTATTTTTTCCCCCTATGAAATCTTCGGATTCACTCCTTAGTCATTGCTTTGATCAGGTTTTCATGGTGGATTGCTAGCATTGTTTTCGTGTGTCTTAACTGATCCTGTGATTTATTAATATGTCCCACATCTGACTATGGGAGCTCAGTACAGAAAGGAAATGAGCACTGTACTTCTTTGGGAAAATGGAAGGTCTTTATTTGTGTCCACAGTCAGTGCTTGGGTGAGGGAACTGCTGTTGAGTGTTTTGAACATCATTCTGATATAAATACTTGTTTCCTGGATGGAATGTGAATTTTTCCTTTAAATTTATAATCAGCTTCCCCAACATCATGCTAAAATGTTATCCCTCCCCTGTCATTTCTTACTTCCTGGTATTTAATTTTGGCTCTTGGTTTTTGTATGTGTGTGTATATATATATATATCTATCTTCCCTCCATCTTTCTAGTTTATTCTAGCATTGTCAATAAAACCCTAAATCCTGGACACTAAAATTAAGAATGTAGTATCACCTGGTGAACAGAGCCTGAGACTTACTTAGACCCCAAGGCTGAAAAAAAAACCCAAAGTTCATCTCTTCTGTGCCCTGGCTGCGGGCCAAGCCAGGAGCCTCATAGCAGATTCCTGGTCTCTTAGTTTCCAATTATGTACTTTTTAATTATACTTTTTCACCATAATTCTTTCTGAACCACATTATGGATTTTATGTTATTTAGGATGAAATTTTAAAATGTGGGAAAGTATAAATTTGGGTATTTTGTTTTTAAGATATATTTTATTTATGGGGCTGGCAAATTGACACAACTGGCTAATGTGCTTGCAAATGTCGGCATCCCTATGGGGGTTGATACTTCTCATGAAGTTCCTTGCTTGTGGCCTGGGAAGGCAGTGAAGGATGGCCCAAAGCTCTGGGACCCTGTACCTGCATGGGAGACCTGGAGGAAGGTCCTGGCTCCTTTTTGGCTCAGCTCCTGCCATTACAGTCATTTGGGGAGTGAAACAGCATGTGGCAGATCTTTGTCTCTCCTCTCTGTAAGTCTGCCTTTCCAATAAAAATTTTTAAGATCTTACAAAAATTGTTTTATTTATTTATTTTTTTAAAGATTTATTTTATTTTTACTGGAAAGGCGGATATACCGAGAGGAGAGACAGAAAGGAAGATCTTCTGTCTGATGATACACTCCCCAAGTGGCCGCAACGGCTGGAGCTGAGCCAGTCCGAACCCAGGAGCCTCTTCTGGGTCTCCCATGTGGGTGCAGGATCCCAAAGCTTTGGGCTGTCCTCGACTGCTTTCCCAGGCCACAGGCAGAGGGAGCTGGGTGGGAAGCAGGGCTGCCGGGATTAGAACCGGTGACCATATGGGATCCCAACATGTGCAAATCGAGGACCTTAACTACTACACCATCACGCCGGGCCCCCAAAATTATTTTATTTGAAAAAATGAAAGAGGGAGCCAGAATCTTCTATCCATGATCCACTCCCAAAGTAACTGCTAGGTTGATGCTGTGCCAGGCTGAAGTCAGCAGCCTGGAAGTCCATCCAGGTCACAGAGTGTGTTTTGTAGTGGCGGGAGTGGTTCCAGTACTTGATTATCCTTTGCTGCCTCTCAGGTATGTAATCCAGAACTCAAAGCAGGGCTGTGATACAGAATGCCAGGTTCATTGTGGGCTGCAGCCTGTGTAACCAACTGGGCTACAATGCCAGCCCCTCAAAATGTCAGTCCCCCCTTTATTTCCTACCCTTTCACAGGGTCATTGTACCTTTGGGCCAGTGACTGAGCAGGCCTATCCTGTCTATGAGGACACCGACTTCTTCGGCTCTGTTTGCTCTCTCAGGACACTCTGAGTATGACTTGGTGCCACTCTGATGTGGTTTTCTTTTCTTTTCTTCTTCTTCTTTTTTTATTGGAAAGTCAGATATACAGAGAGGAGGAGAGACAGAGGGAAAGATCTTCTGTCTAATGATTCATTCCCCAAGTGATCACAACGGCCAGTGCTGCGCCAATCTGAAGCCAAGAGCCAGAAACTTCCTCCAGGTCTCCCACGCGGGTACAGGAACCCAAGGCTTTGGGCCATCCTCCACTGCTTTCCTAGGCCACAAGCAGGGAGCTGGATTAGAACCGGCACCCATGTGGGATCCTGGTTTGTTCAAGGCGAGGACTTCAGCAGCTAGGCCACTGCGCTGGGCCTGTGGTTTGCTTTTCATGTTGAGATACTAAAGAGACCAAAAAGCAGCTTTCTCTTAATGGTCTAAACTGACCCATTATTCCAAACTGTTAGCCAAATTTTTGATTCATGTTATTAAAATTCCTGTTTATTGTCGGTTGTGAATCAACAGATACGGAAACCAACAGTAATAGCTGAGTTTTTTAGTACGTTGAAATTAAAGTTTTACATTCTTTGGTAAGGGCATGAGATGAATAATAAAGCCGAGATTCTTTTTCCCCTGGTGTTGCTGTTCCTATCTCAGAAGCTGAAGCAGTCACAGGGAGCCTGGGTTATTTTTTGGAGTTAAGTTCTTGGCCTTTTCGTTCCCTGCTTAGCTAAGCCCATTTCCCAAGGCTGCTCCTGCTTTGGAAGCCGTGTGCCCGGAACCGTGCCCGGAACCGCTCCCTTAAGGAATAATCCACCAGTTTGTGCCTTATCAGTTACCTCCTACTGTTACATCCTGCCTGGATAATTCCAGTATTTCCTGCTGGATCTTCCCCCACCCGGAAGTTCACCCATCCCTCCCTTTCTCTCTCCTTTCCTTTTCCCTTTCTTCATCCTTTTTTTTTTTCTAACTTTCTTCCCCTCTTCCCCTATCCCACCTCTAGTGTTTTCTACAAGTACTTTTCTCCATCCCCCATTCTTTCATTAAACTGTGTTTTATATCTCATTTCCCTTCTGAGTCTCTTAGAAGTCACTTAAAGTTTGAAAAACACCTGTACAGGCGTTCTAACTTTGTCCTCAGGATAGCTAACCAGACTAACTTGTTTGACCTTTCTTCCATTGAAAAGTACATTTTAACTCTGGCCTGCTACAGACAAGCCCTCTATTTGCCATTATCTTCCCTTTGAACGAATCAGAGGATAGGAATGTAGGCCTACGTGACACATGATTGCTGGAGTTTCCAATTATCAAGACAGGCCTTCGTCCTTAAATCTTACCATATGGAATCCCTTCAGCTGCTCACTTGTTGGACCAGCCATCCTCAGATAAAGAAAACAAAGTAGATTCTTTCCTGAGAAGGCAGTGAAGGATGCCCTTCTTCGTTGCCCACTCTGACTCATCTGATCTAATACTGACCCAGTTAGGGGGAGCTCGTCGCACTGAAGTGGGTATTGACCATTTGATTTCTGTGCAAAGAGCAGATTCCCCTCTCAACAGATGTTTTCCCATTCTTTATTCTTCAAGTATTTCCATTTGTTTTAAATGTCATAGAAGGCATTTTATTTTCAGTAACCTTCCAAGGAAATTACTGCTCTTCCTGGAACTAGTAGAGATGAGGAAACTGGAGCCAAGGTGCTCCTCATCAGATTATAGCTTTTCTACTTTCAACTTTGGGTAGCTGGCAACTTCCCACATGGATGTAGTGAGTGACGATGGTCTAGCAGAAGTGTTGTTTGAACGAAATTATTACTGGTGGAAAGAGTAGCATGGTGGAGCAGAGAGACCTGCCCATTCTGAGCGTGTGCCTTCCAGAGGCTGAGGTTTCTGTGCAGGTGGCGAATGAAGAGGGCTCTGTGTCTTCCCTGCCAGTAAAAATTGGGGTTGATTCAATATCCAAAGAATCACAAGGTTTTTATTCATCATAATTACCATTTCTCAAAACTGGTTTTGCGCCAATTTTACTGTTGTACCTTTAGCAGTTTAGCTGCTTCTTCTGCCCTTCGCTAGTGAGGGCAGAATGTTGTGTGCTTACATTTTATAGTTGAACAGTCTATCACTTCCTGTCATGACATAAACTGTTGTTTGATTTTCTTACAGGAGCTGAGAGAAATACATAATAAGCAGCAACTCCAGAAACAGAAGTCCATGGAAGCTGAACGGCTGAAACTGAAAGAGCAGGAGCGAAAGGTCATAGAATTAGAAAAACAAAAAGAGGAAGCCCAGAGGTGAGTCTTCTCAGTGGCTTGTGGACCACCTGGCAGAACTCAGAGAAACTGCTATGCTTTGCCTGGTTTGTCCAGGTTGCCACTGTGCCAGGAAGATCCCTTAGTCTTTCATACGTGTGCTTGTGTGGGACTTTTGCGAATTTGAGCATGTGTATGTATACCTCTTTGTAAGTACTCCCTGGAATTTCTGATTAGTTCCCACAACGCTCCCAAGCCCTACCATGTGGATAAATGGGGAATTGGGACACTTGGGATGCTCATTTGCATGCTGATGACTAAAATACGTTTCCAGTTCACAGCGTTTTAATAACAGTGGCAACCAGAGTGCCTGATGTGAAACCCGAAGCCCTGAGCTCACGGCCTACCACGGCTTCCCCAGTCCAGCCCAGAGGGTCCCTCTCTGTCTTCCTCTGTCTCCCTTTTGTCAATTGCAAATTAAACTTGAAGATATTTCAGATTATGAAACAGACACATTATTATCTATTTTTATTTAAATATTTGTGGAGTTTTAAAATTTTCACTTCAAACTCTCCAGTGAATTATTCACATTTAATCATTACCTTTTTGTATCTCTGAGTTTTTTTTTAATTCAATATCTGCTTTCTAAATTTCAGCTAATTGTGGATGTTTGTTTATTTTCATTTATTGGAAAGCTGGTGAAGTAGAGACAGACAGAAATCCGATTGCAGACTTAATCCCCCAAATATCTACAGCTGCAGAGACTGGGCACAGCAGAAGCCATGTGCCAGGAACTTCATCTCAGTCTTCTAGGCAGGTGATAGGTCGAGAGCTCCTTCCTCCCAGAGCACTCATTAGCAGGAAGCTGAAATCAAGAAGAATCAGGGACGGGAACCCACGCTCTCCAGTGGTGTGTCTTAACCACTATGCCGAACGCTTGATTTGGGGGTTGGTGCTGCAGCCCAGCGAGTTAAGCCACTACTTATGATGCTGACTTTCCATGTCGGAGTGGCAGCTTGGGTCTCCTGTGCTCTGCTTCTGTGCCAGCTCCCTGGTAATGCACATGGGAAAGCAGTGGAAAATGCTCCAAAGACTTGGGAGATCTGGATTCCTTGATTCCTGGCTATTATGGCCGTTTGGGGAGTGAACCAGTGGATGGAAGATCTTCGTCTCTTTTCCCTTTGTCAACTCTGCCTTTTAAATAAACCTTGGAAAACAAAAATGCTTGTGCTTCAATTGATTTTAGATTTTATGAGACAAAAATCTTTCAATGATATGAATTATAAAATTTGTTAATAAAATTAAAGTGGACAAGTTGAAGGAACAGGCCTTGAGGTCAGTTACTGAAGTCAGTGGTCTGAGCATGGGGAGTGGCAGAGCTGAGCATGCCTAATGCAGGCGCTGTATCAGGACTCTGCACTGACTTTCCACATTTCAAGTAGATATATGTGTACATTTGGACAGTGCATAATGAAAGTAGAATTTGTTTATCTTGTGTGACTCTGGCAATTTTCCAAAAGCTAACATTTGTGCATTGGTCATGTAACAGAACAGTGGTTCAGCATGGAGACTTTGAAACCAGACATCTTAGGGTTGAACCTGAGGTAGCTGTGGCAATGTGACTTGGATAAGTCATTTAATTTAAGCCTGCCTCAGGTTTCTCATCTATAAAATGTGGGCAATAAGAGGTCCAACCTGCATGGTTCAAGGGATTAGTATATGAACTACTTTCATTATTTTATAATTTGTTATTGCACTTACTTTCATTTACAATATTTTCTAAGTCTGAGAAAAATCATTTCCAGTCTTTCCCTAGGGGTTTCCAGTTGGAGCCACCAAAATGTGCCTTTTATTTTTTTCCCTCCCAAAGATTTTTTTAATTTGAAAGGGAGGGAAAAAGAGAGTATGAGAGTGAGTGTAAGCACTTCCATCCACTTGTTAGCTCCCCAAATTCCAGCAACAGCTAGGGCTGCGCCACGCCCCTCCCAGGGCTCTGTGTGGGTGGCAGGGACCCAGAGGCTTGGGTCAGCAACTGCTGCCTTCCCAGGCGCACTGACAGGAAGTTGGTGAAGAAGTGGAGGCAACAAGACTGCAATTTGCTCTCCTAAGTGGATGGGAGAGTCCCACCTAGTTGACGTCCAGTTAAGCAGTCCTTTGCTTTCAACTTCAGTTCTCGGGTGCATCACACGCTCGTGTAAATTAGGCATGCCCTTAGCTAAGTTGTGGTGTTAGTGATCTGGCTGGTCATGGACTCATTAAAGCAATGTTTGGTTTGCACTGTTGGGTTTATTCTAGTTCGCTAGTCATCTTCTTTGTTTTATGGATTTCGTGTTTTTGATTTCTATTTTGCCATTTAATACCAGCTTCAGCATAGAGAGGTATTTTGTGGTAGTTACTTCCTGAAAGAGCCCAAGTCGTCTTCCTGTGTTTGTCCGAGTCATTTGGCTCCATCTCAGAATGGGCTGTGTGAAGGCCTCCACTTGCCTGCTGGAGGAGCTGGTCCTCAGGAAGTCAGGCTCAGGCCTTGCAACCCTGGACCAGCCAGAGTTGTGTAGTGACCACGGGCGGCAGGACTGCTTCCTTTGTGTAACCAGCATTCTGTTGGCAGGAGAGCCCAGGAACGGGACAGGCAGTGGCCGGAGCACGCACAACTGGAAGATGACCACCAGCGGCCAAGAAAACCCCATGACGAGGACAAACTGAAGAGGGAAGAGAGTGTCAAAAAGAAGGAGGGCGAGGAAAGAGGCAAGCAGGAAGCACAAGACAAGCTGAGTCGGTTTTTCCCTCAACACCAAGAACCAGCAAAGCCAGCTGTCCAAACACCCTGGCCCACCACAGGTATTAGAAGCCAAACAGTTCAACAACATAAGTCTTTCTGTTTCCCTCGGGAAATGTCCACATCTCATACAGCTCTCTTGACTACTAATCGAACGAGAGCCTCCACGGCTTGGTTTGGAGCAGTGCCACTGTGGTTTTTCCTCCAGGATTGTTAGAGTTCTGTTATCGCCAGGCTAACTTTTGCCTTCACTGCACTGGGTTTTAGGAGTCCTCCACAGAGTTAGCCAAAGTGGCATCCAGTTCCATTACCAAACTCTATTCATAGACTTGCATTCCAAATGGAGGCCTCACCCTGTCCTGCCGAAAGAGCCTGGTGCTTATCTGGTTATTCTCCCAGACATTTCTGAGCTGAGCCCTTAGGAGAAAGTGCGCTTTCTCATTTGCAAGTCTGCACTGGGGCAAGCAAAACAAAAAAAATGAGGTTTTTTTTGTGTTTGTTTTTAACGTTTGGAGACATGACTGTTGTGTCCTATGATTGCAGTTTGCCTCTAAGGAAAATCAAGTACAAAAGTACAAATCTAATGGAAGTAGCTAGAAAAAGCCGTCCCTAATGTCATAGTAAATACATAGGATGTATTTCTAACATTCTTGTGTGGCGGTATGATATTCTATAGCTTAGCAGATGTCGCTCAGATGAGGGAGCTGATTGCTATGTGGAGGGGGTTGGGATTCACAGGTGATGTTGATTTTGGTTGGTTCTCCGCATGCTTCATGCCCTGAGTATCCTCTGCTTACTTGCACCTTTGAGATCTTTACTTGGTTTTAGATAGAAATTATTTTTAAACTCATTATCTCCTGCCCCTCCCCTGACCATCAGTAATAACTGTACTTAGCTCAGTACTTAGGGAACCGTGTGAAACACCGGAAGCATCAACACTAACGTGTCTTTTAGTGTGGGAAGTTGTGTTTTCTCCGCTCCTTCCCAGCCGAGTTTTCTCCGACTGGTTGAGATCTGGGATCCTGTAACTGCTGGGTGGGAAGAAGGGTGCTGATGTCTTGCAGATGTGTGCTGGAGGCCGAGGCGCCCGGCGCTGGAAGGGCCTTTGGAGACTGCGAACGCGCGCTCTGAGCGGTTCACCCTCACATGGAGCCTCCCATGGCGTGCAGTGTGCGCTTCCGAGATTCTTTGACAGGATGTTATAATAGCTTTTTGTTACTACAGTGAGATACCTGTGGCCACTGACTCACCAGATGAAATCATTTGGTTAGCACACAGTTTTTTGAAGTTCAAGTCCAAGATCAGGTGTCTGCACTCATTTGTACTCTCATGGGGGCCATAGCAACCGTGGACGCACATGCAGAAGGACAAGCACGTGGTGAGTCAGGAGGCCAGGAGAGAAGTTGGGCCTAATGAAAATCAGCTTCCTGAGTGATCTCCCACCCAGCCTACCTCCTCAGGACCATAACTGTTATGCTTTCCTCTTGGGCCCGGAGCGATTGCATAGCCCCCAAAGTCCTCGCCTTGCACACACCAGGATCCCTTATGGGCGCCCACTGGTTCTGATCCCAGCAGCCCCACTTCCCATCCAGCTCCCTGCTTGTGGCCGGGGAAAGCAGTTGAATACAATCCAAAGCCTTGGGACTCTGCAGCCGCATGGGAGACCCCGAGGGAGCTCCTGGCTCCTGGCTTCGGATCGGTGCAGCTCTGGCCATTGTGTCTGCTTGGGAGTGAACCAGTGGACGGAAGAACTTCCTTCTGTCTCTTCTTCTCTCTGTATATCTGACTTAACAATGAAAATAAATAAATTTTTGTTTAAAAAATGTTTTCTTCGTCTAAGTACCATGAGCTTATGACTTTGGGGTTTAAAACCCCGCTGGCGTTGTGAGGGAGCAAATCACATTTAAAGTGCACTGTCTGGAAGTAGTTCAGAGATGTTAGAATAGGCCGTCAAAACATCAGTTGTTTGACTCTTTGCCTTTAAGTTCCTCTGTAACCTTTTGTTTTTGTCTCCTCCTCCTCCTCGTTTGTGAAAACAGAAAAAGGACCTCTCACGATTTCTGCTCAGGAGAATGTGAAGGTGGTGTACTACCGGGCCTTGTACCCCTTCGAGTCCAGGAGTCACGATGAGATCACCCTGCAGCCGGGGGATGTCGTCATGGTAAGAAGGAAGCCAGCGAGGGGTCCTTCCTGTGAGGCCAGCAGCTCGCCTCTGTTGCTCTTTATTGGACAATTGTGAAATTGCCTACAAGTGTGGAATTCAATGACCTGGGTCTTTGAAGCGTAAACTTTTTCTTCCTTTTTTTTTTTTATTAGATTAAATGATGACATTTTAAGAGTGTATCCTGCTGCCACTTTAAAATAGAGTTGTTAAAGACAGTTTTATTATCCCAGCAGTACTGTATTTTTAAATCAGTGTCTGCTAATTTGAGTTTGAATGACTACTCATATACTATAAATACTGAGGAATCTTTACAAAATGGTTTTAATAGCAAAGTATTCTATCATCCTTCTTGTAATTGCCAAGAATAATTTGTGTACCTTTGGGTTAAAGCCTGTTTTTTAAAATATAATTTAATTGTGTGAGCTTGAATTATATAAAAAATAATAGGTTAAATACTGTTAATCTGCTTTCCCATTCAGTGAGTTAATAGTTAGAAATGTTCAGGATTTTGCTTCTGTCAGATTATAACTAAAACTATAGGAGCCAGTTTAAGAAAGAAAATAAAGCAATGTGACTGACCTCAATTATTTTCTAAAATAGAACAGTAGTTCCTTGACGTACTCACTTGAGAGTTAAGAGTCTTAGCAATGATCAGACTTTATATTCCTCCTAGTGCTCTGTATTAAGGATGGGAATGGTTCAGAATTTATAAGGAATTATACAGCAGTTGAGACAGCATGTTCCCATTCTCAAAGATTCGGACATATTAAGGTGATCTGAAACTTCATGAAAAAGGGTTTTTTTTCTTGGAACCCCCTGGGGATTGGCCCTGCAGTTCTAATCCTAGTACAATAATATTGAATTATTTTCCCGAGAGCGGCTCTTTAACCCTCAGCTTGATTAGATGAGTAGAGTGTACATTTGCTATGAGAGTAAAACATTTCATTAAACGTATTTTGCCTTGCTTTCAAACCGTTGCTTTCCTGGTGGAGGTTAAAGGGGAATGGGTAAGTGCCACCTGACTGTCAGGAGGTCTGCATCTCCTTGATGTCTTGTTCTTTTCAGTCTTTGAATTCTGTGTAAGTACACGTATGTTTGGGTGTTGTGATGGTAGAACTGTGTTTGGGTTTGTGCAGCAGGTTGTGCTCTTAGAGGAAAAGTGAGAGATGGATGTACTGCATCCATGGTCAGCTTTCCGTTTACTGGATTGAATTCCATTGAAGGCCTAGCTTCAAGGCTTTCTATTTAGGTCTCCGTCTGAGACTGTGAGCAGCAGCACTGCCAAGTAGATTCAGATTAAAGAAAAAAATTCCTGAGAAATAAGGACCATTAGAATAAATTTCTGGTGAGGGGAGACCTTTTCACACTCTTACTTAAAACCGAAATCATTAAAGGCAAAACTGGATAGACTGGGCAGCATACAAAAATGAAACATTCTGTATTCTGACGTAAGTGACGCTGGTGCTTCCTTTCCGTATCACACAGACTCCAGACAGTGAGGATATGTGTCAGGGTAATGCAAGTTAAGAAAGTAAAATGGATTTATTGTTGTTATCAAATGAGCAAATTTAAAAAGTTTAACAGGATGCAGATTTGCCGAGAGAGTTGGAAAGTGGGCATAACACACATTCTTGGCTTGGTTGCATACATTGCTTAAGTCATTTGGAAGGCAATTTGGCAATTGCCTGTTCAAATTTCAGATTTAAAATTCTCATTTCTCTTGACTCAGAAATTTCTGTCCCCCCCCCAAGCCTTTTTGAGGTGCATATACAAATATGTACATGGATCCTCATGGCAGCCTTGTTCATACAGACAAAATGAAGGAAAGCATTCCAGTGTCTATCAGTGAGGGATAGTTGCAAGTGTGATACAGATAAGCAGTATAATAAAGATGTTTTAAAACTTATATAGACCTATAGATACAAAGAAGAACTTCATTTAAAGCACAGGAGTAAAAATAATTGTGTTTTGATTAAAAACATAAAATAAAAAAGACATCTATATTTATATATGCATAGTTAATCTTGAACTATTTATACCAGTGAGGTGTATAAATGTACACACACACGTGCATAGCAGCAGTGACTGCTGAGCAATAAAGAAGGGACTTTAATTTATGTACTTTTATGTTATTTTCATATTTATAATTTTTAACACTTAAGAATCCAACTTTGAACACGTGTATAACAGAGAGTGTCCAGGACCAGAATGGTCCCTGCTTTATCTCGGACATCTCGAGTAAGGAATGAAATACGGAATGTGTTACTACTGACAGGTCAGCAGTGTGGCATTCCAAGTGCCACTGAACTGTGTGAGCATCATAAGGATAGCAACCATTTTATTAAATGAAGTTTTGCAGTTAAGAAAAACGAATATGAAAAATAAGTAATGGAACATGCATTTATATCTCTTACTTGACTGGTAAAGTTTTAAAACTTTTTTTTGAAAAAAATAGTTGACTATACATGTTAGACTGAGAATCTAACAGTGTGGCCTCTTTTGGAGGTAAACACTCTTGGGAGCTATAAAATTTCGCTTCTTAGAAAAACTTGATTAGCACCCTTGTTTTCTCTAATTTTTTTCATGATTATCAAAAATTCTGTGTGACATCTTGAATGCTGTTTTTGGTAAAATATCGTTTCTGTGCCTGAAATCTGTTTTTAAGAATCAGGAGAAATATTGGGGGGAAAAAAAAGCCAGTGTGCACTGATCTTCTTGGGGCAAACTTCTTAATGGAAGTTGCTTTGTTAATTTTGTCCTTGATGCTAAAAATATTAGATGCTTTGTAAATTTTTGACCTCCCTCCTGACCTACAGGTCCCAGTATTTGGAGGATGAATAAATAAAACTTGACATTTATAGTGTACTGCAAGAGCAGAGGCAATGAGTAGGACCTCTGTTCACCACTATTGCGTTCAGGTTCAAGTCTTTGCAGATGGTTCTGTCAGGGAGCCAGTTTGGGAAACCAGTGATCTAACCAAGACTCTCTTTCAGAGTAAAACCTACATCATTCTGCTTAATTTCCTGTTTGGGACTTCTTTTGCAGTGCTCACCCAGCAGTGGTTAACTCATTCTGAGAGTTGCAGCAATTTCAGCTTCTTATTTTTCTTTTCCCTGTGTTTCCTCCCTTGATAGAGAATTTTCTAACGTGCTGAACGAAGTTTTACCTTACTTCCTTAATTTCCATAGACCTATCATTTGAGCTCTTCTTGGATAGTGTGTAGTATCTATCACTGCTCTTTTGAGAAACCAGTATACACCTGGGATTACAGGGATCAGTCCAGTCTGGCTCACTGCCTGTGTTCTAATAAAGTTTTATTGAAACATAGCCAGGTGCATTCATTCACAGAGTGTCTACCTTTGCTGTGCACTGCAGCAGTCATGGATACTTGCAATACAGGAAGAAATTGCCAGCCTCTGGGTTAGATTTTAAAAGAGTGATTATTAACCTCATCAAAGTTGGAGTGAACCCTTTGTTTCAACTATCAAGTCTTTACAACAAACACTGCTACAACAAACACTGCTGCCCTCCACACTCCTCCCCCCACCCCAGGCGGCCACTTGCAGCTGGTCTGAGGATGGCTTTGACCTGTTTGTCCGTTCTTTGTTAGTACTTGTTGAGGGAGGCAGGAGGTTCTGTTTCAAGCTTTAGCTGAAGACTTGAACCTGGAGCAGATGGCTCTGTACATTTGCATATTGCATCAGTGACCTACAACGTGCAGCGAATAATCACTGGCAATTTGTACATTAGCCCTCTCGCACGGTCCGGAAGTGTGGTCCAGAGGTATGAGCTGTACTGGTGATGCTCTACTAGGATTCTGCGCTCCTCCTCCGACACTTGGGGATGCTGAAGTGACCTGACCAAATGGAACTATATGAAATTAAATAATAAAACTGTCCTTCAGAAAATCCACCTTATAGTTAGTCACCAGTGCATGACTGCACATTATATAATAGTTCATTAAAATGAACAGTGTCTTAAAGAATAAATTAAATGGAGACTGCTCTTTGGGATGTTGTTGACCAGTGAATTTCCTGAGTTAAAAGTGAAAACCTGAGAAAGAGATGAGAGAAGCACTATCTACAGAGATGAGCAGGGGAGGCCCCTTCCCTATTTCTGAGGGTACTCGATGACTTCATAGGGCAGCATGCACTCTGTCAGAGCTGGGACAGGCTGGGTGTGGGCCACTCACTAGGGTGGGAGCTGGGCCTACCCGTCAGATGGAACATTTCTTTTGGGTTTCAGATCTAATTCCTAGTGACCAGGAGTCTTGATAAGCAGACAGTGAATCATAAGGCATAATTAGGGACCTGGTGCTGTAGCTCAACAGGCTAATTCTCTGTCTGCGAGTGGTAGCATTCCATATGAGCACCAGTTTGTGTCCCAGCTGCTCCATTTCCCATTCAGCTCTCTGCTTGTGGCCTGGGAAAGCAGTGGAGGGTGGCTCAAGTCCTTGGAACCCTGTATCCACATGGGAGAACCAGAAGAAGCTCCTGGATCCTGGCTTTGGATTGGCTCAACTGCACCTGTTACAGCCATTTGGTGAATGAACCAGTGGATGGTCTCTCCTTCTCTAAATCTGCCTTTGCAATAAAGATAAATCAATCTTTAAAAATTATATAAAAACACATAATTAATTAAAGCAGCTGACATTTGAGGAGATACAAATTGGATAGAACTAAATCGCTAATTGACTGGAGAATCCCCTAGAGGCACAAAGAGAACCAAATAGAGATTGTTAGCTGGAGTGAGGGTAGAGATCTGGCTTTTAGAGCAGGACCGACACTCAAATAAAGGAAGTACAGCAAAGTTACAGCTGGATAAGTGGAGAAATGCTTCTTACGTGCCAGAGTGTATCCTAAATACAGCCACCAGTATAATGCAATCGTTATTCTTATCCCCATTTTATAGATGCAGAAAACAAAGCAGCCAGAGATTAAAATTACTTAGAATTAGGGTGTTTGGCACAGTGGTTAAAGCACCCCATGTTAGAATGTCTGGGTTCAGGTCCTGGCTCCAGTTCCAGATCCACCTTCCTGTTGATGCACATGCAGGAAGCAGCAGGTGATGGTGTGTTTTCTTGTCCCTGCCACCTGCAAAGGAGACCCAGACTGAATTCTTGGCTCCTGGCTTTGACCTGGCCCAGCCCTGACTCAGACGGTTGTGTACATCAGTGACATACAACATGCAGTGAATAGTTACTGGGAATTTGTAGGCTAGCTCTATAGCCCACTTCAGAAATGAAGTATCTAGTTAGTGAATCAGCAGGTGAAAGATGTCTGTCGAATGTCACTGTATATCTTTCTGCCTTTCAAGCAAAAATCAAAAGTAAATGTAAAGTTTTTAAATGATAAAATTGCCTGCAACCATTATTGATGACTTGTAGAACTAGTATTTAAACTCAGATTATCTTACTTGCAGAGCCCTCTTCTTCACTCTTGCACTTTGTGATTTTTGAAGCTAAGATGTTCTGTTTGGCTTAAGCGCCAAGTCACCACTGCCTGACTTCCTCTTTGGTCCTAGCATGAATGGGGCCATGCTTGTCTGTTGAGACTACTTCAAAATGGGAATGAGCATCCCTGGCATAGCCAGGCTTCGAGAAGGCTGTCCCCAGTGTGGGGTAGCTGAAATTACAGAGGGTCATAACCACTGAATAACCACTGAAGCAGCCATGTAGCCATTTGAGTTTGGCATAAAAGAAAAAAAAATGTTATTTTACATCCTCATCTGAAGAAACAATTGTGACTGCCTAGAAAAAGGAAAATGAGGGAAAAAAAAAGTGAGGGGGAGTTAAGTGGGAAATGGCTAATGCTATCTCATACGTATACAAACAGAATGACAGAAGTATGCACCAAAAAGAGCTATTATCCTGGCGTTACATATGCCCTGTTATCAGGCATCCTTTGTTGACTGAATATTTTGTAGACAGCTTGTAGAGTGAGCTAGTAGCTAGTTAGTATTTCTACTTTTTTCTACTATTATCCCTATCATTTGTTCATGCAAATAAACTAGTAAGTATTACAGCTTATTCCTCACTCTATACTATGTACAAACAGATGTATGGTCTGTTTAATACCTGTGTTTTGTAGATTTTTTTTTTTTTGCTTTATTTCCTGATTGTTTATCTTCCTAACTGAATACTTGAGTGAATTAGAAAATATTTTTGCTAGTTTTTCAAAATGGTTGTTTTGAATCCCATCCACTCATATGTGCAGTTTCTATAAACCAATGTTAATATCCGGTGAAGTGCTCAAGATTTTACCTACTAAGGCAGTGTGTAAAGGGATAAAAATAAGGTAAGGTCTCTGAGAACTCTGGTTTTTTTTGTAATATTATAATTGCCCTCAAGTCACTCTCCTGAGGTTACAAAACAGCATGCATATTTTATAAGGATGAGTAGCAGCATTATGGTCATTTTCAATGATCCATTTGAGTCAGACATAAAATAACGTGCAAACACTTGGTGCAGTGACTAGAAATAGCCTCTGTGATGATTTCTAACTGGAGAATTATGTTCTCATGTGTGCTTTTGTATTACTTACATTTGTAGACAAGGACACCCTAGGGCCTTTATAAAATTAATTACTGTTATAAATAAGCACTTTGACTTTCTCATTGTGTGTCTGTGGAGCATTGAAACAGCTATGCCTATCAGTCAGTTTTGCTTTCCATGGAAACCACTGAAGCCTATATTTTTACCTTCCTTTTCCCTATGCTGAATGAATACTGCTTAGCTATTAGAGGGTTTTTGAGTACTGACTGTATATTGTAACTGTAAATAATTAAGCCCAAATCAAATTATTTTCAATAATTACATGACTTCCTGAGTGATGAATGCCATCAGACCACTTTCAAATTCAAAATAGCTCAGCACATTAGGATTGTGTGCCCAAGTATTTCTGACTTTTAGTCTTAACTTAAAAAAAAAAAAAGTTAAAGCTTGAATTGTTAGGCCTGCTATTTTCCCACGGTAATGTATAGAGACCATTTTTCCAGACTCTTAGACAAGGATGGAGACATTTCTGTGCTTTGTGTCGGTCACAACAGGGCAGAGGCTCTGGGCTTTGTTGTGGTATGTGTCTGGCGTGTTCAGAGTTTGATTCAGTTCCACTTAAATGCTGTGACTTTCCCACAGGTGGATGAAAGCCAAACTGGAGAGCCGGGATGGCTTGGAGGAGAACTGAAAGGAAAGACAGGATGGTTCCCGGCAAACTATGCAGAGAAAATTCCAGAAAACGAGGTTCCCACGGCAGCCAAACCAGTAACTGATATGACATCTGCCCCTGCCCCAAAACTGGCTTTGCGTGAAACCCCTGCTCCTGCAGTAACAGCCTCTTCCGAGCCCTCCAGCACCCCCAACAACTGGGCCGACTTCAGCTCCACGTATGTGCACATATGCTATACCTGATGGTTTTTCGGTATCAGTTGAGACATTGCTTTTCCTCTTGGTGTTTCTTGAGCATTGGGCTGTTTCTTTGTGTTGAGGGAGCTGCCTTGTTTCCATTTTCCCTGCTGTTGCTGATTTCCTGGCAAATTGGGTATTAAATTCTCGAAATGGATTCTACCAGTACCACTGCCCAACTGTGGTTTACTGCAGCACAGAATAAACTCTGTGATCTTGTTTCATTCCATGGTTGATCTGTGTCTTTCATTCTTCTGAAAGAAATGGAGAAACACAGTTTCCTTCCCCAGTTGGTCCTCCTCGTCTGTGAAACCAACCAACTGCTGATCCAAAATAGTCAGGGGAAGAAAATGTTGCTGCTGAACACATGCAGGCTTTCCTCATGTCATTAGTCCCTAGATGATGCAGCCTAGCTACTATTTCCATAGCGCTTATTTTTTTTAAGCATTCTGATCTAAGTAATCTAGAAAGAATCTGAGGCATACGAGAGAATGTGTGTGTGTGGTGTATAAGCACTACATGAGCTTCTGCAGATTGCACAATCAATGGGTGGCCTGGAATCGCTCTCTCCATGGATACCAAGGGAACACTATCATCTGTTTTGACATCCGTGTCTGTTAGCAAATATTCCAAGTCATTTCCTACATGCTTTTAAATAGTACGGTTGTTCTGGGCAGAAACTGGATTCAGTCATGTGGTTTTGAGTAAGCTAGAAAGCTGTTTCCTTTCAGGCTTTCTGCTTTGGTTAATCTTGTGCAAATGTACAGTGAAGAGATATGTGTCCTTGGGCACTGTGATTTCTCTCCCTTGGTCATCAGGAAATGGCATTTAGCAGAACAGCAAGGGAACAGATTTGAAATGCTAGTCTTTCCAGTTATAGGGCTATGATCTAGATGTGCAGTTGTCTGAAACTGGGTTTTTCTGTTAGTTTTCAAGATTTATTTTATTTATTTGAAAGACAGAGCTACAAGAGAGATTGGGGGAGACAAGGAGGGAGAAATATTCTCTCTCCTAGCTGACGCCCCAAATGGCTGCCATCTGAGATAGGACCAGACCGAGGCCTAGGAGCCTGTATCTTCTTCCGCATCTCCCGCACTAGATGGCAGGCACCCAGGGAGTTGGGCCATCTTCTGCTGCCTTCCCAGGAGCATTAGCAGGAACCTGGATCTGATGTGATGCAGCCAGGATGGGATGCCAGTGCCTAGGTGGTAGCTTTACCCATTTTGCAAGCCACTGTCTAAAACTATGTGAAACCATTGTGACAGTAAAAGCAATTTGAGCGAGAAGTGCTTAAAAAAACTCTTCAAATCTAATCATCTTTTGGCAGAAACAAATTCAAGGCAAGGAATGAAGATGTCTTTTTGGAGAAGTATCAGATGGAACAAATAGAGGGAAGAAAGGAGAATAAGCAAGGACACAAAGAAGTGGAGAAAGGGTGGATGGCTAGCCAGTGTTTCATACTCGCATTTCCGTATTACAGGTTGAAAGCTCTAAAGAAGATCCTCCCTGTCTAAACTTTGATTCTGCAAAGCAATGCCCTTCCATTGGCATGACTTCCAAGTAAAAATTGTCTGTTCCTCCTTTGATCTTGACTGAAAAGCTCCATCTTTCTGACCTAAAGCTTAGCCTGAAATAGAGGGCTAATGCCATGTTTCCCAGGCTTTGTTTTGCTGTGGATTAAATTGCTGTTACTCTCTTCCTCAAAAAATGTATGGGTGTACAGTTCTCCTGCTGTAATTACAGATATTTTGTTTTCCAGATCAAAAATCAGGATGTGCACTATAACAGAGCAATTGTTGGAATTTTAAAAATTTGTTTATGTGTCTTACAAAGATGTAAACAGCAGATGGTTTTTAGATTCTGTCCTCCCACAGGTGTGTGTATCTAAAATTATAAAAAGCACAAGATTAGAGCTGTCTCCAGGATCCAAAAACAAGTGAGCGCTGAGATTATGAGGACGTCCATGCCAGTGACCGTGGCATCAGGTGCTGGGAACCCCCAGCTGCTGTCTGGCCTGTTCTCATAACTTTTGTCATTGCTGATAGTGATGATGATTGTGATGTAGGGAGAGTCTTTGAGTGCTTTGTAGCATGTCCTTCAAAATTAACCCACTTCGACAGCATATCATTCCTGCTTTAGCAGTAAGAAAGTCAAGAGTCAAAAACTTGTATTTTAGTGCAGGCTTTTTAGCAGTGTTACAGCTCAGGCTCAGCCCTAAGCCCAGTGGATTTTGTCACCTCCCTGCTGTTTAACTGTACGTGGAGCACTGCAGAAATGGCGGCAGGCACTCGGCACATTCTCTGTGTCCCTGCTTGTGTTACATCACATATCAGAACACCTGTGCCAAAGCCCAAGCCCTCCTCCCCTCTAGTTTGCTGCTTATAACCTGGAAGGTACCTATTACTGGGTCCCTGTGGCCCACGAGGGAGTCCCAGATTGGGTTCTGAGCCTCTGCCTTTGGCCTGGCTTAGTCCCGCTATTGTGAGCATTTGGAAGTGAGCCAGGAGCTAGATGATTGTGGTCTTTCTGTCTCTGTTCATCTCTCTGATTTTCAGAAAGCGCTGTATGTATGTTCTGTGGGTTCACAGAGCACCCTCTTCCTCTGTCTTGCACTCAACTCTGGTTGAAAAGACGGTGCTTCAGGAAGTGCTTACACACTGACGGTGGACTTTTCCTTCTAGGTGGCCCAGCAGTGCGAGTGAGAAACCAGAAACGGATAACTGGGATGCGTGGGCAGCCCAGCCTTCCCTCACTGTTCCTAGTGCCGGCCAGTTAAGGCAGAGGTCAGCCTTTACTCCAGCTACAGCCACCGGCTCCTCCCCATCTCCCGTGCTGGGCCAGGTAAGGGCAGTTGGTGGCCCCACATGATGCCTGTTGATGTCAGAAGCAGGCTTTAGTCCGATGTTTTTCGATATATCTAGGATGGCTCATGGCAAGGAATCTAGTTCAGGAGTCTTAAACAAGCGAAGGGTCAGTGTTCAGAGACCAGAGAACCTCTCCTGCCCAATGATTGGGACCTCACCAGCAAATGATGAGGGCTAGCTTATCAGGCAGAAACTGTGAGGAGAGGTTTTCAAGCAGAAATCCCAAGTGTGTGTATGGAAAAACATATTAATTCATCTGGCTAGACCATTGACTATTCTTTGGGAAAGAGACTGTTCGCAGCTTACTAGGCAACTCTGAAATCAATCCTGCTTAGGAAAAATAGTTGTTGCTAAAAGGGTAAAAGCACTTATTCTCAATATTTCTCTCTCTTTTTTTTTTTTTGCAATATAAATACAGTAAAGTTAAAGGAATAAAATCCGTTAAACCAAACAACAAATGTCCATCTAAAAGGCTGTTAGGGAGTCGGAGGAAGTATCTGTCTGGGAACACTGAGCAAAGTCAGCTGGAGGTGATGTAGGAAGAACAGAGTGAAGCAATACAGTTTTCCGGGTGAAGCTGATGAGCTCAAGGGAAGACCTGGGCCCAACTGGAACCAGAAGGCATGAGAAGAGCTACCAGGGTGGTTCACTGGGTCTGTACCAGCCATCAGGAATGGAGCCAGGCCCGGAACTGAGAAGCAAGACAGAAAGAAACATCACTTGTTAAGAGGCAGGAGTGAAAGTGAACACAGGACATATAGATACTCCTGCTAGGCGCTCTACTGGAACACGGATCTGGAGAGTAAAATAGAGGATGCTTCTGCATTCCATGAGTATATGAGAGCTGTCCCCCAAAAAACACCAGCAGATCCTAGCACACATGTGAGGCATCCAAGGAGAGAGAATATGGGGAGAAAAGCGCAGTTTCACGGGCTCATGTGTGTCATGTGGCCTGGAAGAAGAGGAGCTGCCTAAGGAGGTGCTACTTACCTTTACATCTCTGTCTGCTCAGCATCCAGCACAGGCCACCTGCTCCTTAAACATGACTCAGTGATGCAGGTGGTCTGGGGGCAAGAATGTATGAAGAGATGGGAGTTGTTTTCAGAAAGTGACAGGTTGCTCTTATTAAGGGCTACAGTCAAGACAAAGAAGATTGTTCAGCACAGCAAGTAGATCATTTTTGGGAACCTGAGAAAGAGTAAGATAAAAGCAGATGCAAAAGCAATGGCGAGAAAAGGAGAAGAATGCAGGGGAGGGTGTTAGGAAAGGTACAAGCCAGGCTTGCCACTCATCAGTATGGAAAGGTATCAGAAAATTTAAGTAGTGTAAGGTGGGCATACATTAAAAGTATGGCAAAGATAAGGCAGGATTCATTTTCTTCTGGGTTGAGGAAGGGTAAAGAGAAATGGGAGAGGAGAAAATGGACAGAGTTAGGTTGGGCTCTGTGACACCATTGTCAGTAAGGATAGAATCCTGAGACTTGTAGAGTGTAGATTGGGTTTAGGAGTCTAACAAAGAAGACCAAAAGAATGGCCTGCATAGATTTAACCACCTGTAACTTATATTTCCTTGGCAGTATTCCACAGTTAGAAACTAGGAATAATAATAGTAATAAAACCTGCTGTTGCCCAGCTTAATTAGCAAGCATTCCTCTCGTGCAGATGTAGGGACTAAAGCTTGGAGAGATTAAACAGTTTTTCAGCTTCACAAAATAAGTGACAGACCTGGGATTGAAACCCAGAGCCCATGTTCTCTCTGACCCAGGCTGGGGCTCCTGAGGTCCCAGGTCCGATGAATGTTGGCAAGGACACTTGGCCAAGAGAATTACGGTCATCATCAGTAGCCATGAGGGCTGAAGTCCATACAAAAAGTGAAAATTAGAAAGCAAAGGAATATATGGTCCTGAGGGTGTTTGAAGTCCTGAGAAGATTCCTTGAGTCCTGGGGGCCTGAGAAGACGGTGGGGCTGAAGTGGAAGGCAGTAGGGGTTTTGTAGCTTCCAGAAAGCATGGACCCATAAAGAGCAGGCTTTTGAGGCTCTTCATGGATGCTGAGCCATTTGACCTGTTGTGAATCCCCTACTTCACATAATCACAGCTCAGTGTCGGTATCACTTCAGAAGGCAAGTATAGGTGAGTTCAGGATTAACTGTCATCATTGGAAATTGACGTTGTAGTTTTTTTAGATGTTTTGTGATGTTTTAATGGTTTTCAAAAGGATAACCAATGCCTCACCCTGCCTTTCCAGCCTCATCTCCTACTGCCACACCCCACCATGAGACTAGGCCACGCCCAGCCATGCAGAGTGCTCCTCTTTCCAGACCCTTTGCAGCGTGCCACCTCGAGGCCTTGGTCCGTGCTGTGCCCTCGGCCTGCAGTGCCCTTCCTTCGAAGCCTTAGCTACCAAAGTCCTTCTTGTCCCTCAAGGCCCAACTCACGTGCTGCCTTCTCTTCCTCCTCCGTGGAATTTTCCCTGATTGTCCCAGGCAGAATTCATCCTTGCTTTGTCTCAGTTCCCATAGTGAACAGTTGGAGCTGCTTTGTAGCTCATTTCATTATGCCAAGAGATATACTTGGTTGTTTTGATCTGTTTCTTCCTCATGAGCTGTTTCACAAGCTGTCCGTTGTTTGAATTGCATCTTGGTTAATAAAATGCTTCACCCTTAAGCTTTTGGGGTGAGGCAGAAATGGTGTTTTATTCAGCTTTGCAGTCTCATGGTGTCTTTCAGATAGGTATACACAAAATGGCAATTACAATACATTTATGCAAATCAAATTTCTGTTTCTCTTGAAAGGATCTAAAGTAAGCAGGATCCAGTGCAGGGCCCATGTCCCTGTCTCTAACTGACTGGTCAGGCCATCATCTCATGAAATTTCATAATATTTCTACTCCAGACTTAATCCTCTGCTGAAAACCTGGATCAGAGTGGAAATGGGGAGGTACCCTGGGTAACTAAAGAGTAAAAATAGAATCAAAATTTAAGAGGCACATGACCCAATACAACCAACCAAATATGAGCCCTTGACTTGTTTGAGCAGAGTTCTGGATGTCCGGACAGTGGCTCTGTGAGCAGGCCGTCAGGTTTTTGCCTCCACCCCTGGCGATAAAGCCCGAGTGAGAGCCAGGGAGCAGCCCGGCACTGGTGCCTCATCGTACCAGCTGAGACAGGTTCCTTTGTAGCCATGTGTGCCATAGCTTCGGGAGGAGGTGCAGGTGTGCACTTCTGCTTCAACCAGTAACAAAACACAGTGTAACGAGAGGTCCTTTATGTTGTTCCACCCAAGGGTGAAAAGGTGGAAGGGCTGCAAGCACAAGCCCTGTATCCCTGGAGAGCCAAAAAAGACAACCACTTAAATTTTAACAAAAATGATGTCATCACCGTCCTGGAACAGCAAGACATGTGGTGGTTTGGAGAAGTTCAAGGTCAGAAGGGTTGGTTCCCCAAGTCTTACGTGAAACTCATTTCAGGGCCCATAAGGAAATCTACAAGGTATTTTTGTGTTTATCTGCTTCTGTTTGATGAAAGTAATTCTAGACATGAAATTAGTGTTTACACTAGTTAAGATTCACAGCTAAGAGTTGCAGGAGTATTCTGTCTTCTTGATCACTTAATTATGAATATGAAATTCAAAAGGAGCCTCTTGCCAATAAGGCAAAGAAAAGTTCTGCTTTGAGACCTGAAGGATTCTGGTGCCTTTGTGGGAAATTATGTTTCTCTTTATGCTTCATGTGGAGCGCCATAGCAGACTGACATGCCTATGTATACACACCTAGAAACCCACAGCATTTGGGGAAATCGTGGCGAGAGTGAATGATCTTTTTCACTTGGTTATCATTCTAGACATAAAATTAAAACTTTAAAAGGTGGGTTGTTTAATTATTCTAGCCATGGAAAAATTTTTCAAAAAATTCATGGAAAGTAAAATTGAAAAATAAGCTCATATTGATGCAAAATTTTTTTTAGATCCATGTTTACACTTTTTAAAAAGTAGGCATTTTCTATAAAGTTTTTGAAATTATGAGCTTTAAGAAGACAAAAATGGCAGAAATTATGTGATCGGAATCGGTCAGGATGCAGATTTGGCTGGCAAAGGACCGCAGAAGAACGAAGCTTAGATTGTTGTCTCTATAGCCCTTTCTTCCGGGTTCTTGTCTTAGCTCAGTATGCCTGTGTGAACTGGAGATTGCTGAGAGTTTTTTTTACAAGAGAAAAGTGTCATTTGTGCTGTGTCGAGTTCAGAATTAACATGTGGTTGTGTTCCCTCCTTGCAGCATGGAGTCTGGGTCCTCCGAAAGCCCAGCCAGCCTCAAGAGAGTAGCTTCTCCGGCCGCGAAGCCGGCTGCCCCGGGGGAAGGTGAGGATCTGGGCCGGACGCCGTCCCTTAGACGGGGCGAGGGTGGGGTGTGATATGGACAGCGAATCTTTCATATGAGCTTGGACTTCATTTTAAAATAAATCACATTAACTTGCAGTCAGCAAATGAAAGCCTCCTCAAGATAAAATGAAAGCATAGCAGTTTACAAAATCAAATACTTGACAGAGACTTTCAGTGTCTCATTAGATGCGCTGATGATTTAAAAACTGCACTTTCTAATTGTGTTTGGTTATTAGCCCTTTGATGTTTGAAAGAGACCCATGAAGTTCACTAGGAATCCTGTTCTCTTAGCATCTTTATAGCTGAATTGTGATTGCTTGCCCCAACGTCATCTGGTCTGTTCTGACTCACATGGTGCAGTGTTTTGTTCTAGAACTAAGTTCACAGTCCCATAAAGCTCTCACGGTGACATGGGTACTGTCTGTGCCCCACAGGAGAACAGAACTCCGTTTCTGTCTTTCATGTAGATCACCTAAGCTGGTTAGTTAGGTCTGAAAATTAATTTTCAGTGTTTATTGTGCAATTAACCAGTTGCTGTCTTTCTTGCCCGCTTCTTACTAACATGATCCTAAATATTCTGTAGATGCCAGTATATACCTATAATTATTATTTATGTGTTTTTAAGATGGAAAGAATTCTAACTATTGTAGGCCCTGATGATAAAAATCTCCTGACTCTTCTGTTCACCATGGTCATTATCACAGTAATAATTGAAGTATTACGTCTGTTTGCATCAGGCATGTTTTCCACCTGCAAGAGCACTGTAGGTAACAGATGTCAGAACTAACAAATGTACATTAATTTCTCATGGATCTGTGGCATGAATTATATGAGATGGAGTTTTTACTTTTTGTCATAATAAATTTGTTGCATTCTGCAGAAACTTTGTGTAAGGAAAAATGGAATTATTGGTTGTTTCAGTGGAGACTGCAAAGATGAAGGCTTGATGATATTGCAGATCCAGAGTTACAATGCTTATTGTTTTTTGAGAGTTTTTTTTTCTTTAAGATTTATTAATTTGAAAGGCAGGATTAGAGGAAGTCGGGGAGAGAAGAAGAGAGATCTTCCATCTGCTAGTTTTCTCTCTAAATGGTCTCAACAGTCATGATTAGACCAGGCCAGTGCCAGGAGCCAGAAACTCCACCCTGGTCTCCCTTGGTCAGCTGGCACCCAAATACTTAGTAATTGAACAATCTTCAGTGTTTTTCCAGGCATAGTAGGAGGGAGCTGGATAAGAAGTGGAGCAGCTGGGACATGAACCAGTGCTCCTATGGGATGCCAGTGCTACAGGCAGCAGCCTAACCCACTGTCTCACAATGCTGGCCCAAGATGAAACCACTGTTGGTTAGTTGAGAAGGTGCACCTATAAAATCTCACCGTCACAGACACATAATTTTGTGTTGCTTCCAGGTTTTGCTGTTAGCATGGTTCCCTTTGTACACTCTCATGATTGTGATGATCTTATATACTTGTTAGGAGAAAAAAGTCAGGCAAGGTTAAGGCCAGGATAGGGTTAGGTTAGGACCAGGCCAAGGCAAAGTAGGTGAGGCCGTGTGCCCACGGACAGGTGTCTATCAATAACAACTGAGCTTCGGCATGTTATGTCAGTTCTTCCTGGAGCGCTCGGTGAGTGTCTTGTCTCCTACCCACAGCTCCAAGGTTTTTGGCCATGCCTTTGCTTCCTCTTCTGCAAGTGGCCTAATAGCCACCTCTGGAAGGAGGAAGTGAGCCCGGGGACCTCAGAAGCCCAGTGGATGTGTGCTGTGATGATAGGTCCACCTAAAGCTCTGAGTGTTCTCAGCACACAGCAGTGTGGAAGAAAGTCTACTTTGGATCAGATAGTGAGGCCTTGACTCTGAGTCGGCCCCAGACGAACCAGACACACAATGATATTTCAAAAAGTTTATGGAAAATGGAATTACACTGGAAGGTTATTTTGGTGGAAAACATTTGAAATCTATGCATTAATGCATGTAATCCATTGACTTTTTGAAGATCCTTCATATATGTAATATTGGACAACAAAAAGTTCAATTCTGATCTTGGTGTCTATAATACATGTTTTGAAATGATATGAGTATTAGAATTATTAGTAAATAATACTAGCATTATGGAGCATGAGTAAGAAATTTGCATTAGATTACATATATTAGTGAGGCATGCTGCAAAATGGAATCAGATTTAAAGTAAACCCAGGTTAAATAGCTGTAGCCTGAAAATGCAGGCTTGAAAATGGCCAGTGTCCTCTGGAAAATGGCCCATCCCTCATTGTATGTTGGGCTCCATTGTCATCAGCAGCCCTCACATGGGCAGTGAGGCCTGGTGGTCCTCCACTCTGCTGCTTTTGTCATGCTGTAGCATTAAGTTCAGGTACAGGTTGTTTGGTTTTTTTTGAAGATTCATTTATATTGTTAGTGGAAAGGTAGATATATAAGAGGAAAGGCAGAAGTATCTTCCATCTGCTTGTTTATTCCCCAAGAGCTGAGCTAAGTCAGAAGCCAGAGGCTTCTTCTAGGTCTCACGCATGGGTGCAGGATCCCATGTCTGAGCCATCCTCCACTGCTTTCTCAGGCCACAAGCAAGGAGCTGGATTGCAAATGGAGCAGACGGGACACGAACCTGCGCCCATATGGGATCCGGCTCCTGAAGGAGGAAGTAGGCAATTGAGCCATTGCACTAAACTCCAGAGTTCATGTTTCTAAAGTTCCCTAAGCATTTTAGATGTTCCAACTTTGGATCCATTTTAAAGGAAATTGCTTTTTTTTTTTAAGTTGAGCAGTCACTGAAAAAAAAAAATGTTGATTGTCAAGGATCCTGTCTGTCACAGGTTGCTCTAAAGAACAGCAAGAGGGAGCAACAGAAGGTTCAGAATACTGAGGAGTCGAGGAAATGAGAGTGCCCTTTTTCAAAGTCCCCAAGCTTTGATTTCCTTGTGGGGAATCATGTTTCCAGTGTACCTGGAGGTGTGTGTTCCTGGCACTCCCAGGTCTGGAGGAACCTTGTGTGCTGTTGGGTCCAGTGGCCCCTGCTGGCCTTGGCCTAAGCCTTGGCAGCTGCTGCAGGTCAGCTCTGGAAGGTTGAAGGTGGACCCTTGCAGAAGTCTTGCTGCCCAAGTTAGCACAGTGTTAGCAGTTTTATTTCTGTGTGTGCTTATTTTAGTTTGCATCATTACCTCCTTCAGAGTCTCCTAAAATTAGCCCGTGGAGATTTCCATTCTAAATTTCTGCCTATTCAACATCAGTATCTGTGTTTAAGGACCATCTGACACTGTCGTGAGAAATACCCACCTCCTTCATAAAAGTGAACTTGTTGAATAAATGACACAAAGGCCTAAGAAAAAGCAGAGAGCAGTGGGAAAGCACATGATCCTCTTGTAAATCTGTCACCCTGTAATTGCTGTCGTGTTGGGATTTTGTGTTGAGTGGCCTTTCTGAGTAGAACTCGGTTCTAAGCCTTGGCAATGTTAAGTTCTGTTCTAATTCTTTTTTTTTTAAGGTTTATTTTTTTTTTTATTGGAAAGGCTGATGTACAGAGAGGAGGAGAGACAGAGAGGAAGATTTTCCGTCCGATGATTCACTCCCCAAGTGGCAGCAACGGCCGGTGCTGCGCCAATCCAAAGCCAGGAGCCAGGAGCTTCTTTCCAGGTCTCCCATGTGGGTACAGGATCCCAAGACTTTGGGTCATCCTTGACTGCTTCCCCAGGCCATAAGCAGGGAGCTGGAAGAGAAGTGGAGCAGCCAGGATTAGAACCGGCACCCACATGGGATCCCACAGCGTTCAAGGCGAGGACCTTAACCATTACACTATCGCACCGGGCCTGGGTTCTGCTTTAATTCTAAAAGGAAGGTACACTCTTCAAATTCAAGACATGAAAGAATGTTAATTCTTTTGTTTAAAACTAAGTTTCATGACTAGTACAATGTAATAAAGTAGAATTTGACTTCTTAACTTGTGGAGAAAGGCCTGGATGTTTTCTGGGATTGGATAGATACTACCATCATCATCCATCCACTCGTCTCTACACTGAATGGTAAAAAGATGCCAATTGTTAACAATAAGGTTTTATTTTGTATTCTGACAACATCCTACCATCTGCACAAGATGACACAATAGGACATGAATGATGAAAGGCACTTAAATGATGAAAAATGTGTTTTATCTGTGCCAAATCTGTGGTGACTTGGTACTCTCAAAACTGAACTACAGAAAATCGGTGTGCACAGCAAGACCTGCATGTGAACCCTGACCCTGTACTCCATAAACGTTACCTAAAGTGGAAATATAAAAGCCATTTTCATGTAAAACAAAATTGTAACATCAAGTCATGGGTCACACAGGATGCTCGCAGTGGTGGACAGGTGTTATGTCCAATGTTTTTTGTTTCTGTTTTGTTTTGGTTTTTCTTGTTGTCCTGTTAGTAGATCTTTCTAAGAATTATCTCTCTGACTGGAGGTGCTGCATTGGGGCTCAAGATGTTGTACAGTACTCTATTTTGTCTGTGGCTAGCTTTGCTCTTGAATGGGTCTTATTCTAACTTCCTAATTCACAAACTTGCTTTTGCAAAGCTGTGTGGGGTTTCTTGAAACAACCAAAGCTGTCTCCATATCTCAATATTTCTTCCCACCAGAGTTTATTGCCATGTACACTTACGAGAGCTCTGAGCAAGGAGATTTAACCTTTCAGCAAGGGGATGTGATTATGGTTACCAAGAAGGATGGTGACTGGTGGACGGGAACAGTGGGCGACAAGTCCGGAGTCTTCCCTTCTAACTATGTGAGGCTTAAAGATTCAGAGGTAAACCCACATTAACTGTTTCCTGTCCCTTTCTGTGAAATGGTTCTCTTGGTGGGAAGTCACAATGTCCGAAGGTGGCTTGTAGAACGTGTCGTTTGGGGCCGAAGGGGAAGAGTTGATTTCCCAGCAGCATAACTTTCCTGGGCTAAGTGGAGGTTGCATGTAATGGGCTGGTCTGTTAGCTGAGATAATACTGTTCAGTGTTTAATTTTTATTATTGCATGCCACTGACTTGCGACTTAGAATGAACCTGCTTGATTAGTTCTTGGTGGTCACTGGTTTGGAAAGATATACAACAGTATTTTGCCCATGTGAACCTAAGTACTGTGGTGATGCTGGACCCCAGAATAGTGGACACGAGAATGTTTCTGAATTTTATACATTTTTTTTCTATACAGTAGAAGGAAAAGAGATCTAGAATACTAATACACTTTCAGCTAAGTTTTTTGTCTCCACTGATCCAGTGCTGAATTTATTTCAGATACTGTTATTCTTACGCATTGGGAATGATTCCTGTTAAATCGAGCCCTAAAAGTACAGTTGCGTATAAACTGGTCTTGAAATGTACTACAAGTTCCATAACATAGGGTGCCCCTACCACAGAGTGAGAATCCTCCTTCTGGCAGCCATGTTCCTAGTTGGAGGAAAGTGCTGGGTAGCAGTGTAGTCACTTACCAGACTTATTGCCCATAAATAAACTAGCAGGAGTTGGTTAATTAAAAAAAAAAAAAGTCCAGTCCATTCACAGTTATTTTCTTTTTCTTGTAATACTGCCTAGCTACTGAGAGGGAAAAGGCTGTTTTCCTAGTAAAAGCAAGCAGCCGAGTGATTGCTGTCCCCTACCTGCCCTTAGCAGGGTGTACACTGAGCCCATCCTAAGCCCCTGCACACATAGCCATGTTGAGGCAAGACTGGACCTTGAGATTTGCTACAGTAGGTCTGCCATTGTCCTGCTGTGTTCCCTGAGGTTCCCAGGAATTATTTTTGTTTGCTTGAGGGTTTTTGTTATTTTGTTTTAAGGGGTGTCATGATTGTTGTTTTGGTTTTTTTCTTGCTGTGATCTTGAGAGCAACTTATTGAAATGGCCCTGGGTAAGTTTGCCCGAGTTTGCCTTCCCTTGCCAAGTTTGGCAGGGGTCTGGTTGGAAATAATCTTCCCCTGTAAGAGAGCTGGCATGTTAGGCTGAGGAGACCTGGAAAGGGACGAATCAACTTCTCTCCAGGCTAGCTAGTTCGATGCAGTAAAAACCCTATTTCAGGGAAGTAGTGGCAAAAGTGCTGAAAACTAAGCTCACAGACTTATATTTCCACGAGTGAGATGACTTCACCTTTTGGATTCATTAAAATAAAAGAGCATTACTTGCATTCTTATGTTAACAAATTACTTGGTTTTTTTTTTCCTATAAAATATCCACCTGAAGTCAATAAGTTAAAAAAAATACCCTGTGATTTTTTTAAAGATAAGCTAAACTAAAGGTATTTTCTTAAGCACAGTCTTAAATGACTGTCTACAGGAGAACCAGCAGCACAAAAGAGCTTCAGATAAACATTTAGCTATATTACTCAGTAAAAGTAACTTTCAAAATCCAAAAAATCAGCCCTTTTCTTTCATTTGGATGCAGAGTTCAGTGTAGAAGCTCAGTATCCTCCTGAAGATACAAAGCTTCAGAGAGCAGAACAGACAACTCAGCCACTGCCCTTCTCCACGTTGAGCGAGTCGGATCACAGTGACTGGGGCAGCTTTCCACCAGGCACAGCCTGCACAGAACCTGCTTTTCTAAGTCCTAGTGTTTAGTGCTGTCTGCAGTGTTTCCAAGGGAACACACATGGAAGCTGATGGAATCTTCCTAATGTGAAGTATAGGGAGCGTAATCCTATAATGAGAAAATAGCTTGTCGCTTGGCATCTTATTTTATTAATGTTCCCTTATTTAATGTACAAACTATAAAAATAGCAAGAGAGACCAGTGTTGTAGAACTGTTTGTTAATAAAGGAAGTATAATCAATGAAAAGCTAACCCAAACTTCTCCTTGGCAAGTGACTATTAAATTTCTGTAAAGGCATTGTTGTAATTGCATTCTTGCCGGATAAATTGGATATGTTTTCCTTACCATATCTGTAATTTAGATTAAGACCTTTATTTTAATCAGAATAGTTAATTTAGTGCAATATAGGAACCCAGGGGTGAAAATTAACTCAAAATAAAGCACTTTGTAACGATTGATTATATTCTGGCCCCTGTCCTACCTCCTGTGGTTTCTGTTCACTGACTCAGCTGGTTTAAAATTCTGTGAGTGTCCAGGAAAGGAATTCAACCCCAGAGCACTTTTGGAACACTCAACAGTTGGAAAGAAGTGTAGTCTGCTTCTGTGGCTGCAGCTTCCAGCTCGGGTGGAGAAATCTCATTGTTTAAACAGTTTGAAATTACAAGGAAAGGCTGCAAAGGACAGCCACAAGGGAAGTGGGAGGCTTTGGTGGTCCCTGTACTGTTCTTTTTTTTTTTTTAATATATATAATTTTTTTTTTTTTTGAGAGACAGGGAGAGAGTTGTCTCCCACTGACTGGTTCCCTTCCCCAAATGCCCACAGTGCTGGAGCTGGGAGTGCAGTGCAGGTCTTCTACATGGGTGGCAGAGACTCAACCCTTTGCTAGCACCTGCTGGTTTCCCAGGGTTTACATCAGGAATCGGGAACTAAAGCAGACATCACACCCAGGCTCTCCATGCAGTAATGGGATGTGGGTGACCAGACCAGGCCGCCACCCCCGAAATATGACTGTTTTAATGTGTTGCCTCTACGTGGTATGCTCATGGATGTTGCATATTTTTGTGTTCTTTTTTTAAATACATGAAATAACTTAAAAAAAAAAAACTAGAAAGAAAGTGTGAAATGAGTGTTAAAGACATGGACTGATAGTTCTTATAGCATGGAGTACCCGCTCGATTTGACCCGAGTTCAAAATATGCCCGTGTTATACACCGTTCAAACCTTTGTCCCCTGAAATGAATCCTCCGGTGCCACCTACTTGGCTGTTTGTCCTCTTGAAGAGGAAAAGCCACATGTTCTGAAGTGTTTATTTTGCCCTGTGTTTTCCTAACCCTCACCCCATGTCCAGCATGTCTCCCCAGAATGGAAAGGTGCATGGGTTGAAGGGCTCAAGCAAATCTGTTTCATCATTCATCGTTTTTTTTCTCAAGTTGCATAACCCGAACTCTTCAGCTTGCAAATGAGACCTTTTGCTCTGTTTTAAGGGCTCTGGAACTGCTGGGAAAACAGGGAGTTTGGGAAAAAAACCTGGTAAGTTACCAACCCTGATGTTTCTTTTTCATTGCTTTGAATGTCATTGATGGTTGACCCAGTATTTGTTCACTCGAGCCAGAAGCCTAACAGAAAATCAGAATTACCCAAGCAGGGCTGAGTGGACTCCTTGGCATCCAGTAATAGCGTATGTTTGGTTATAATATTTGGCTCCTTCGCATATGGGGAGCAAGAACATTAGCAGACAGAATGTTCTCTTGGCCCCTTGGGTTCTAAACACATCCTTCAGACAGGGCAGTCCGCTTGCTGCATGTGCCTGCTGGGGCAGCACTTCTCAGCATCTTCTTGTTAGGCTCCAAAAGTCCCATTTTTCTCCAGGCCGCACATCAGCTCCCAGGACATAAGCAGTGGGGGACAGGGGAATGAGAGCAGATCTCATCTGCGGGAGATCTATGAATTTAGGAGTCACTGAGTGGTTTCCTCAGGTGCCCATTAAAAGGACAAACTTCTAGTCCTGTCTGCAAATTCAAAGTCCTTCCAGTATATTTAAGCAAAATCATATATTTCTAGGAAGTGGCACAGAAAGGGAAGAGGCAGCTGTAAAATAATAGTTTGCTCAGCACTCCCACCCACCCACCCCAGAGTCTAGATCACTTGCTTTTTCTGCTATCACACATCCTTGGGAAAATTACAGGCTGAAACACTCTGTGAGTCTGTTGGGCTAGGCAGAGTTGGTCTGACAATCGGCTCCCACTGTGATAACGTGACAAGGAAAGAGAGGGCCCAGGGCATTGAGGAGCTTAGTCAGAATCCAAGATCTTAGACCACTAGCGTCGGATCAGCCCTCTCAGTCTTAGCTGTTAAGTCTTCCATATTTCAAACGTTTGTCCCTCCAGAAGTTCCAGCAATCTCTGGCATGTATTCAGGCTGACTGGACTTTGCACTGAAGCCAGCAAGCCGCACAGGGCCACCAGAGGTGGCAGAAGCTCTGATGGCTGACCGTTGGCTGAGTGTGCTGCACAACCCCTTTGAGGGGCAGGCCATCGGTTCATAACCAGGACACTGATTTGAGCCCAGGCCTTGGTGTGCTGCAGGAGGGTCCTCCTCCCAGCATGCATTTCCCTGCCAGGGCTGGGCGTCAAAACCAGGTGACAGGGAAGCTGAGTGCCATGCTTTGTTGCTTCCCCCAAGCTCTCCAGAGCATCCCGACAGGTGTCACATGGCTAAGCCCTGAGCACAGACCAGTGCCTGCAACTTCCTTGCTCGAGAACACCAAAGTTAAAAATACTGTCCAAGCATGGGGCCTTTCTGCTTCCTTCCTTTCCGCTTTTTTTTCCCCCTCAGGAGCCATTATGCTGCGAACAAGTTTAGAAGAATCAGTTTGTGGTAGATTTTCCCTAGCAGTTGAGAGAGCAGTCCCGACTGATAACCCAGAGTCTGGCCAGAGGAGGAGGGAGGAGTCTGTCTGCTCGGCTTCCGGTGCTGCTCACAGCCTGAGCTGTGGTCCTCCTGGGATTTTTTTCCCATGGGAGTTTGAATATTCGGCAAAATTTCAGAAGTTTTCATTCGCTGCTGAGCTATTTGTTTTTGCATAGGCTCCTTTCTCAAGTCCAGGGTCTGAAGAAAACTTGTGCTGTCATGGTGTATACCATGATATTCATGAACCACTCCTGAGACTTGAGCCATAAAGAAAATGGTCACTTTGGTAGGCAATTATCTCTGAAGCTGTAAATCACAAAATGGTATTAATGAGGCAGATGGAATGGCTCTTTCTGTTCTAGTTGGCAGTGGGAAAAGCTTCCAGTGCATTCTTCACTGAACCATCATTAGATGCTACTATGAGGAAGGTTGGGGAGTGGGGCAAGGAGGGGAAAGAAGAGCTGGTGAATGAGTCGAACAGAACGCTGTGCTGAGCAGAAAAGACAGCTGAGCCCTTGGGTGCTACATCTGCCTCAGAGCTATGGGAACAGGGCGGTTCAGAGAGCCTCACTCATTCAGAAATCCACCTCCATCCATGTTTTAATGATGTTAGTTGGTGGTTGGGAAGTGGCCAACTTGTCTTGGAGTATCCTCGTCCTGATTGGCACAGTGCAGCGCGATGTTTCATCTTGTTTTTCAGAGATCGCTCAGGTTATTGCCTCCTACACTGCGACAGGCCCTGAACAGCTAACTCTGGCCCCTGGGCAGCTGATTTTGATCCGGAAAAAAAACCCAGGTGGATGGTGGGAAGGAGAGCTGCAAGTGAGTGGTTTTTGAAAATTCTCTAACCAAGTTGGAATATGCACAGTCTCGCTGAATACGCACTGTGCCATTACCCTGTACGTGAGTCCCTTATGGCCCAAGTCCTGTGTTTGGATAACGAAAGATACCACATCATCTGAACCTGTTCCCATCCCTGGTTTGAGCAGCCAGAAGCACATCTAAAAAGCCATCCATTCAGATCCTGGGTCCAGAGAGCGAGTGTTGGGAGGGTGAGAACTGCGCACAGGCATGGCAGGTGGATTCGATGCTTTCCTTGCTGGGGTCACCAGGAGTCCTGCAGCAGCAGCTTTCCCTACATTTACTCATCTGCTCATCCTAATAGTCTTAGTTCCTCTGTGTGTGTGTGCGTGTTCATAGCTTTTTATTCATTTTTGCCTTTCCAGATAACTCTTGAAAGTCTCATTTCCAGAAGCCAAAACTATTTTTTAAAAAGATCTCTGTTGTAAAACCATCCAGAGTAATGACTGTTAGGATCACCAGCGGCTGTAAGGTTCAGAGGGAGTTTTGGATAGGACTAGAAAATGTGCGTGGCCTTACGGTGGCTCTGGGAAGAGGCCTGTAACTATGTGGTGCAGAATTGTTGCCTACATGGGACGAGGCCCGTAAGTTTACGACACAGAGCAGGACAGCACCGCGACCATCAGAATGATCACCCCAGGGGACAAGTGTGCATCGTTTTCGTCCAGATGCCTCAGCTGCCTGCTGCGCTCTCCAGAAAAGCCGACCTTGAGCTTCATCATCAGGATGCATGAGATAAACCCTGCACAGTGAAGAGCAGTCCATTAAAAGGGCAAAGGGAAGCAGTAGAAAGCCAGTGAAAGAGACAGAACGAGCAATGGCGGTGTCTGATTCCAGACTTGCTCCTCGGAGAAGAGGGAGGGCTGCTGGGAAGGGCAGTGTTGGGAGAAGGGATAACGCTGAGATGCAGGCACTGGGTTAGATGCAGGTTTGGTACGCATGTCAGTGCTGTTTGGGGTTGGTAAATGCACTATAGGCTATAGGAGAGACCGTTCCTAGTCTTAGGAAATGCACATTGACGTATTTAGGAGGAAAGAACGCTGTTATCAGAAACTGGTACCCAAGCAATCCAGGAAAGAAACATCCTGAGGAGGAGGTAGGGAGGGAGCGCCAAGTGATGGAGCAGATGATATTAGCAACAGGTGAATCTGCTGAAGGGCCTGTGAGTGCTCTGTGCTTTTGTTTTATTCTTGCCACTTTGGAAATTGTTGCTGAATCACAGCTGCATTTCATAAGTTCCTGTCTCAGCAATTACAGTGGGCCCTCTGAATCTCAGAGTTCCTCATTTGTGGATTGAGCCCAACTTGGATTGAAAATCTTTTGGGGGGAAAATCTGCATCTTTACTGAACTTCCCGTTTTCTACACAGCAAAATATAATAATGATGTACGTTGTAATTGATCTAGAGATGGTTTAAATGCTCCATGAGGTTTACATTGGCTCTGGATGCATCCTAGGCCATTTTATTGAACACCTACACATTTGCTGTCTGTAGGGGTTCTTCAAAAGAGCAAAGGTTTCCTTTTTGCCCCTCAGCCTCCCTCAGCCTCCCTCAGCCTCCCAAGTGAACAGGACTGGCACAGTACACAGGACAGCCTCCTCCAATGCTTACTCACATGTGTGTTCCCTAGGGGCCTATGTGTCCCTCTGACCTTCGTGCCGGAAGGTTCATGCAACAGGGTGTGGGGGAGGGCACTCACTCCCTAAGAGTTAAGCCTGCTGCCGAACAAGGGGATATCAGGAAGGTTCTGCCATGCATGTGCAGGAATGGTCTGCAGTGGCCCCTTCACGGGAGCCCTAATGTCCCTAGGAGGGAGGTTGACTGGTTGACTGGCCCAGTGTGTCCATTTTTGTGTGTATGGACTAACATGGCACACCTTCTGGCTTTCACCTGGCTAGGAACAGGCATGTGTGCGAAGCAGGTGAGCCCGAGATGGGAGAGGAAATTGTGTGTTGGGGGTCCTGACGATGGAAAGGAGACCCTTGAGAACAAGGGTTTTGGAAGGAAGAAGGAACATGTAGTTACACGCTGTCCTCTGTTCACCATGTGTTAAGGCCAGCCCTGGGCCAAGAAGAACAGAGCCCTACTGTAATAAACTGGACATCCAGTTCTTTGTGGACCAAACACCCTGCAAGGGCTGTGACTGCCGATGAAACTTCCCTGGGGAACTCATGGGCAGTCATGGAAACCCTGTTGGAAGTCCTGGCCAGAGATGACCTACCTCCCAGTTCTGAGTCTGCCCTCTGCAGGCCTGGAAACCCACTCCACTCCTCTGCTGGGCAGCAGACACCTCCACAGCCCCTGGCCACAGGTGTGCCAGTGTCGTTCTGTTGTTCTTCCCAGCCCTGTGTTCCTCTGCAGCCCTGGGTGACAACACCCCTCAGCCTGAGCTTTGGTGCTCCTTCTTCTCTTAGCAGCCCCTCCTAGGTGACATCTCCACCCCAGTCTGTTTGTGGGAACAACCAACAACCCCCATGTCCTCAGGCCTTCCTGCCTTGGCTCCTAAATCAACTTCTGCAATCATCCTGGGGCCGTCTCAGCCCTCCACTGTGGCCCTGTGCCTGCCCCACTTTGCTAGTCCATCATGATTACCCATACTCATGCTTAGCATTCTAGGTGTATTCCTCACCTCTGCTAGGTAAGAGATCAGCTTCTGGAAGGCAGTGGCTTCTACCACCCTGTTTAAGAATGATTTTCAAACGGTTTTTACAATAAGGCACGAGGTTCACCAGGCCCAGCTAGTTCTGGCACTTTGCCCAGCGTGACTTGGGTGTGGATGCCCATTGAAGGGGCCCGCATTTTGCTGCCCACTACAACTGCAGAGGTCGGGAACGGTGGGATTGTTGGGGGCATGTACAAGGGCAAACAGCTGAAGCTTACACACATGGCTTCAGTCCCAAAATCAAGGGCATAAAGTCCATCTGACTGAAGGAAGTGAAACTTGATGTGTAAACTGTGTTCAGAGTACCCAGAGTGAGCCTTGGTAAGTGGGCAAGTGGGAGGGCAGAGATTAAGGGGTTTGAAAGTTTTCCTTTTGATTATTTTTGCAAAGGGTAATTCACATGGTTTACAATTCAGATCTTATAAAAGGGGTACAGATGACTCCCTTCCATCCCTATCCAACCAACTCAACTTTTTTTTAAATCAGAGCCTTGTTACTGGTAGTATTCTGTGGTGGTGCTGGTGGTGTATGTGTGTGTATGGTTGTAAGTTCCTCCGTGCCAGGTGCTAACCCTTTGCAGCAACACCCAGCATGCAGGCGCATGTAACTGCTTGGCAAAGGCCCTAACTTTACTCTGTTAGCCCTATCTTCAGACCAGAGAAGGTCTCTTCAAGAGGCCACTGAACTTATCTGGACAATAAGACGCTAGACTTTATGCTAGGTATGTCTTTGCAAGGAACGAATCTCAACTGAACTTGAACTGTGGTTATGCAACAAGGTGGAGGAATCCACCATGGGGGGAGGGGTATGGGAGGGGTGGGGGGAATCCCCAGTGCCTATAAAACTGTACCACATAATACAATGTAAACAACAATAAAAAAAAAAAGGGTATTGAAAAGCATTCAGTAGGTGTTGGTAGCCAGCGTTAGGATTCCTAACACCTGTGCGTGAAGGTGGCACCAACCACACTCCGTAGCAGTTGAGGGCAGAAGTTTCTCTTCTGGAAATCTAACAGTATCTGGAATTGGTGATCCTCACCCTGTATCCCATACAAAAACAAAAAACAATATGGAAATAATAATCATACCCACTTTCCTATAGCCCTTGAACCTTTTTACCCTAGTTAACTATGTAAAGATTCTCAAAATATAATTAAAAAAAAAAAATCCCAACCCTGCTGAGCCACATCTGCCACAGTTTGAATGTTTTTGTGACACAATAATGGGATCATGTTACTGCTAATGCCATTTGCAGTTTAGTTCTTTTGTAAAGTTTGTGTAAGTGCCATGCCCCAATGCCAACTGTATCATCAAAGAACATGAGCCTTTGTAACATCGTTGACATAATTAATTAATTTCTCACTAGGCACGTGGAAAAAAACGCCAGATAGGCTGGTTCCCAGCCAATTATGTTAAACTCCTAAGCCCTGGGACAAGCAAAATCACTCCAACGGAAGCCCCCAAGTCAGCTGCAACACCTGCAGGTAAGGAGTCTGCAGCCTTGTGGGGGACCATCTGGCACTTTGGGGTTTCCCCTCGGTTTCCCCTGGTTTTCCCATGTGCCTCTGTTCCGGGGCTGACACTCAGCTGATGTGACATAGAATGTGGCTGTCAGAAGGTCCCATTCTGTAAGTAGCTGTACCCTGCTGGGCACAGCCGAGGCCTGGCCAGGCCTCCCCTCCCAGCGTCTCCTGTGTGCTGGGGCCTTGCAGCCAGAGTGTTCTCTTGAGTTCCTTCCAGCTGTTTAAATTGGGATTCCAGCTAGGGCACAAGGCCACAAAGACCCCTAAAAATAACTGGCTGGGGTCTAACTGGGTCAGGAAGTTGAGCTGGAGGCCAGGGAGGGCTGCTGGTTGTGACGTGGTGCTCAGTGAAAGCTGAAAAGTCGGCCCCGTGACATTTACTGTGAACAGAAGGGGTGCACTGAGCAGACAGGATGTTGTGCATGCCTTCCCAGATGGCTGAGGGGGGACGGAGCCCCGCACTGACCTACTCGGCTGTTTTCTGACTAAAGACTAAATTAGATGCTTCAGTAATATTTGAGCCAAGTAGGGTGAGGGGAGCCTGTGTGTTTAAGCCAATAATTCTTGGGTGGCATTTGTAGAAAATATGGACATTTGTTCCAGTGCCTTGTGGTTATATGTTGTGCTACACATCCTCAGTCAAGTAAGTTAGACTTGGCCACAGGGTCAGTGCTGTGGTGTAGCAGACAGGGCTGCCACCAACAACACTGGTATCCCGTTTGGCGCCGACCTGAGTCCCGGCTGCTGCACTTGCAGTCTAACTCTATGAATATACCTATGAAAACAGCGGAAAAGACCCCAAGTCCTTGAGTCCCTGCACTCACATGGGAGATGTGAAAGAAGCTCCTGGCACTTGGCTTCCATGTGGCCCAGCCCCAGCCATTGTGGCCCTTTGGGGACTGAACCAGCCACTCAGCGGATCTTAAACTCTCTCACTTTGCTTGCCTCTCTTCCCTCTCTAACTATCAAATAGCTATTTTAAAGTAAGTGAAAAGCTTGGCTGCAATGACACAATGGCAAGAGATCAAAGGCCTGGCAGCCTTTGGTGACTGGATCCTGACTGTGGCTGGGCCTCTGCTGGAGGCAGGGCTTCATGTGGTGGTGGGGGGTGGTACAGGTATGTGGTACCTGCTGAGTGTGCTGTGTCCCCTAGGGATACCTGGTGCTGTCCCCAGCATGCTCAGCGTACAGCACCTTCCTCAGCTGACAGTCCCTGAAACTATTCACCAACGTGATTGAATTAATTGCAGAGGAGCAAAAGCCTGAACGTGGCTTGGTTAAGAAAGATTGATGGGGGTCCGTGACCTAACGGGGTAGACGTTTATGCGAGGTGTGCGAATGTCAGAAATGAGAACAGTTGAACAGCCTTATAAGGTTGAGAGAAAAATTGTTCTGGATTGTGGGACTTTTCTTTGAACCAGTTTTGAAGGCAAAGATACAGCAGAATCATGAAGATTTTGGAATATTTGGAGGTCAGATTATAATTGCATGCCACCATTTAGAGAAGGAAGGAAGAAAAGTGACAGTGCCGTCCCCACAGATCCCAGCTGCCCCGTGCAGTCGAGGCTTGGGGTGGACGCCGGGCCAGTCCTCCCAAGTCAGCGTTGTAAGTAGCTGCACTGCTCCCTGGAGTAAAACACTCGGTTATCTTTGAGAGTTCTTTGCTGACAAGTCAACATGAAAAAGAGGAAGATATTATAAACACTGAAGACCAAGGGTGAAAATGTTGCTGCTGTCTTGGCTTTAATCCCTTCCCCTTCCTCCACTGCCCTCACTGGGGAAGCCCCATCCAGGCACTTCCACCTCATCACATCCTTTTTTGAAAGGATGACCAACAGTCCACCCCCGGGTATCTGCCAGCTGCAGGTCAGCCGCGGTGCACACAGCTGCTCACCCAGCCCTCTCTCCCGCAGTGTGCCAGGTGATTGGGATGTACGACTACACGGCACAGAACGATGACGAGCTGGCCTTCAACAAGGGCCAGATCATCAACGTCCTCAACAAGGAGGACCCCGACTGGTGGAAAGGGGAAGTGAATGGACAAGTGGGGCTCTTCCCATCCAATTACGTGAAGCTGACCACGGACATGGACCCGAGCCAGCAATGTAAGTGCCCTCGTGGCTCTGTGGCCTCTCCTCTCTGTTCCTTCTGGTGAAACATGCAGCATTGCTCTGCTTCTGCCGAGCCTGGTTTGTAGAACGTAAAGCTAGATCGCTGCTGCATACGCAACAGTCTCTTTGAAGGCCTTCTGTAATGCAAAACGTTAGCTCGTGGGATTTTGGTTTTTGGTTTTGGTTTTTAATTTTCATTCCCTCTGTAGCATGCCCCCCTCCCCCTTCCCCCTTTCCTTTTATTTTTTTCTTTTTAATCATTTTGGCACCATGCTGTTTACATGCCTGACTCATTTTCCTAGCTTGAATTTTGCTCATTGTTTTGTTTTGCTTATGTGTTGTTTTCCTCCTTTTTCTAGGAATCCTATGTTGTCCATCCCCCCCTCAGGCTTGAAAGTCCTCAAAGAGACCCACTATCCCATATCACTGCCCCGAGGGATGATGGGAGATGCAGCCTTGATCATGTGACTTCCAGCATGATCACCTACTGCCTTCTGAGTAGAAGAACTCACTGCAGAGCAGTTTACCTCATTTTACCTAGTTGCATGTGATCGCAATGTTTGAGTTATTACTTGCAGAGACAGACGCAAAAATTACAAAAATACGCAGGGTAGTGGGTCCTTTTGTGGCTTTCCTAGTTACTCAAATTGACTTCCCCCCACCTTTGCACAGGTGCTTTCAATAGTTTTCAAATTATTTTTTAAATACACATTTTAGCCTTTTAATAAAGACTAAGTAAATTACTTCTTTACTATTTTGGTTTTTGCAAAAAGACCCACTATCAAGGAATGCTGCATGTGCTATTGAAAATTGTTCCAATGTCCAGAATTCTGAGACTTGATGTATTTCTTTCATTTTGTCCAGTGTTACCAACAAAATTGTGTAGTTTGGGGTTTCTTCCCCCAAGTGCAGAGGAGTCGAGTATCTGTTTTAAAAGCCGTTGTTGTCGAGTGAGCCCAATTAAAAAGAAGGTGTTTTGTGTGTGTTGTGTGTATCAGATGTACCTTGTTGAGCATGTATTACATCCTGTACATACGAAATGAGTTCTTCCCATGGCAAATGCTATTACCTTGTATGATGCTCTAATCATATTGCATTAATTTTTATTTTGCACAGTGACCTTGTAGCCATGTGAGAAAGCACCTGTGTTGTTTTGTTTGGTCTCAGATTTATCTGGTTGAGTTGGTGTTTTGTTTTGTTTTTAAATTTTGTGTTTCACACCATAAATCAGTAGACAACAGCACTGAGGTTGTCGTGACGGACAAGATCTACAATCTCTTTGTCGTCTCTGTTACATGAAGTTTTATTCCAATTGCTTTTTTATGGAATGACCTATTTTGAACAAGTAATTTTCTTGACAAGAAAGAATGTATAGAAGTCTTGCAATTAATTTCCAATGTTTACATTTTTTAACTAGACTGTGGAATTCCTACAGATTAATATGAAATGGAGCTCGTAGTCCGTTGATGTGTTAGCTGTGCTGTAGCTGAAACCGTGCTTGTCTCTTAAACACTAGTTGGAAGCTCTCAATAAAACATGTCTGTTTTGCTGACAGCACAGGGAAGGGGCACAGTCCAGCTATCCTGCCGCTGACTGTCACTCGTTCCCTCCCTGGTCCTCAGCCCGCTCTTGGGAGCCTGCCCCCAGTTGTGGGGAGTCTGCTCCCCACCACCCCCCACATGGTGCAGGGACCGAGGGCCACTCCTCCTTGTTATGTGGCGCTTCAGTATTTCCATGGACGTGAATGTAAAATATATAAATATATAAACCAGCGGCTTTAACAACTGTAATTCAACCTTTTGACTTAGTTAACGTGTATAGCTAATTAAATTCTTCATATAAAAGTTAGACGGCAATGTCTCTGTGTTCTTGGTATCGGAACCTGGCCATGGTGCTGACCAGGCAGCCGGCCTGCTGCCTGTATGGCAGCTGTGGCCTGTGCTCTGTGAAACACAGATGCAATTAGTCCGCACAGTCTTTGTGGTCCAGCCCCAGCCTCCCACTCCCGTGCCCCTCAATCAGTCTGTAAGGCATCTCTCCCCATGATACTGACTTGTAAACATAAAACTCCACCACCCAGGCTAGCAGGTGACTGTCGCTTTAGGCTTCAGCTGTGTATAAGTCGTGGACACATTGGCAGGTACATGGTTTGGCTCAGGGTTCAAAACACTTGTCCACTTGCCCAAAGGATAGATCTAACAAGGAGCTGCTGAACACCCAAACACATGTGCAGAAGGGGAAGGGTGGAGCCTTGCACGTCTTCCTGTGTCCTTCACAGTCCACTTCTGCCCAGCACACTCATATCTTATTGCCTGTATAGAAGGAAACACATGCACACATTACTGAAAGTTTGATTAAGGGTGCCGACAACACACTGCCTCCCAACCCCGTGAGAGTCACTTATTTGGCCTCTCCTGCTATTGAATTGAGCAGTGCTTTCCTCCATCGGTTCAGCACGTATGTTTTGGGGGGGAGATGTCTGCCATGTGCTGGGTGTCCTGTTGGGCTCTGAGTAGGCTGTGGTACTCGGTGGAGACTGGATTTCCTAATTGGAGACACAGCAACCCGTGTCTCCCAACATGAGAGACGAGACAGTCAAGTTCTATGGTAGAAGTGTAGATGAGGGGTACTGGTGAGCAGGTGGGCAGGATAAGAGAGACCCTTGTGGGAAGAAGAGATATTGAAACTGAAACCTGTAGGGTAAGGAAGAAAGAGAAGTGGCTATTGGAGATAGAAATGTGAGGACATGAAGGTACAGACAAATCAGAGCGCAGGCGCTTCTCACTGCCCCACCCCTGCTTTGGCGAGCTGTGGTGGAGTCAGCAGGCCTCGTGTCTTCCCAGGGGCCCTTCATGCGTGTGAGCCATGTTTTTTCTCTAGTCTTGACATTGGTTGGCAGGGATCCCATCATTAAGGTAGGTAACGCTCGGTGGTGAAGCTGACAGTTTGTATGAACCCCCTTCCATTGCCCATACACATCATCAGTTTGCCTTGCCTTGTAGAGAATCTATCTGACTCATAGTGTCCTCAGCTGGTGGGGCTGCTGTTGGATTCAGCAGGTGGAAGCTGGAGATGCTGCACAGCATCCTACAGTGCACAGTGCAGCCCCTGCAGCTAAGAACTGGCTCACATATCCCCAGAGCTGAGCAGGAAAAACCCCAGTCTCACCCTGTTGGCCCGTGTGACTGATATTCATCTAGTTACTTCTGGCCTAAAGGACAGCCAGCCACATCGGTGGCCCTGGTAACCACCAGCAAGCAGATTTAATTGTGTAATGAGTTGACCGCATGCCTTTGCACAGAAACAGCATCCAGAGCCTTGGTTTTCTGTTTCAGACTTCTTCATCTTCTTGACTGTTCAACCACACTGTGTACGTCAGTACTGGATTGAACAGTAGGACCAACTCTGATCCTATTCTCAGAGAACCTGATGAGCAGGAAGTAGGGTCAAATTGAGAGAAAGCAATTTGCTCTCAATTAAGTGGGTAAAGAGATACTTGATGTCTGCTTTGGCCCCAGAATTTAAAAGTGGCAGGTTTTCATAATTTTTTGTTTGTTTGGTTTTGGTTTTGTGTGTGTGTATGTGTGTTTAAGCTTTTGTTAAAATCCTACTGGTTATTAAATGCTTTTAACTTCATATTGCTCTGTGTGAGTGTGTTTGCAACTAAAGCTGGGGTTCCCTTTAAGTGGCGTGGGACCAGAGTCCACAAAGATGGCCTCAGGTGCTTGCTGCACATCAGGGCAGGCCTGGGGAATTGAGGGACTGTGCTGCTATCCCAGCCCCAGATTACCTCTGCTCCATGGGACGTTGGGGAAGAGCTGGTCTAAAGCAAGGATTCTAATAGAATGGTGCATCATCCCACCTATGGTGGAAAAATGGGTGTGTGCCCTGTTACTGGAAGGGAACCCGGACTCTCCTCGCTGGACAACCAGAGGGGTCATCCACATGGGAGATGGGTTCCGAGGATGAATCTGATACCACCAGTTTGTAAAAACTTCTAGTAGGTTTAACCATATGAAATTGCCAAGATCACTTAACCATAAAAAGAACAATTCCATACGGTTCAACCTAATACATTGTATTTGTGGCCGGTACATGGGGCGGGTGGAGGGGGGAGCAAGGCCGTTCAAAGATGCCTGTTGAGTGAGGGAATCAATCAGACGATCAAAATATCATGTGGGAAATACCAGAGTCCCAGTTCTTGGCATGCACGCGCACACACACACACTCTTAGCGCAGCAAGCAAGATGTGTCTCTGCTTTCTCTTTGAAAAGGCCCCAAGAGCAACAGTATGCTAGGCAGGGGCTGCTCCTCTAGTTTCTTGGTTCTTTTGAGGGAGTCTGAGAAAGGAAGCTGAGGACCAACAAGTCAATTTTCTGGGCCAAGTCTTCATCCCTACACAGGAACAGGGCAAGGCACAGACAGTTCCAGCAAACTGCAAATTGTTTCCCAGAGTGAATGTTATTCTCCTTGTTCGGCAAAATCATAAGTTCAGCTGTTCATTCTTTTTCATTCCAAAAATACTTGAGAATTTTCAGAGGCACTGCTTTGGATGCCAGTGGTCCCCATTGTGCGTGAAAAGATGTTGCTTCTTCGCAGTGTCTGTTCCGAATCTGGTAGGACAAGGAAGCAGGATACAGCTGCTTGATGTCAGCCGGGGCTGTTCCAGGCCCAGTGTGAAGCAAGCCAGATTTCATAGAAATTAAGATTTGATTCTAGAATGTGAACCTCAACCTCAGTTCTAAGACACCCATGTATTTGACTGCATGTAGCTTGCCATTTAGCTTACTGTGTCTTAGAAGCTACCGTGTTATCAACTGTGTATTTGAGAAGGAAAGTAAACTTAAAAGGGTGGGTAAAATTGAATTTAAAGTTAACTGAGGTGCAAAAAAAAAGATGTTGAAATTCATGGCTTACTCATATTGAGCTTTTTGCATGAAATTTTTAAAAAAGGTGAATTTGTTTATTGGAAAGTCAGATAGGAAACAGGAAGA